AACTTTCTGTGAAACTCATCTTTCACATAGTCTGAACTTCAGTCAGTTGGAGCGTAGGCAGACACAACGAAGAGGCAACGGTGCGTATCCCTACCTTTCCCGAGCCCTTACTGACCCGTTTAGTCGGACAGCACATAAGCGATTATCTACTTGGATCCAGTCTAGGAGAGCTAGTTCTGCCCTACACAAACCAGCGAGGCCACGGTAAGCAGCATCAGGGCTTCCAAATGAACGAAGGGCAAACCGAGTTGGTTCTCTATTTGGACAAGCTGAAATCAAATTATTGATTTTAATTTCGTAAATGCATCTTGCAGACGCAGCAGACACCGATGGTATGAGATTCCAAAGTCCTGGCTAGGGAAGCTTGTCGTTGTATTCGACACGATGTCCGGACATTAAAAGCGCTAATATGTAGTTTAGAGTGAGGTTTCACGAGACCAGGAATAACGCCTTGTGAACACTAATTGTTTGCATTAGTGGTACAGCGTGAAAAGGAATGTGATTAGAGTTAATCGTGGAGATAAAAGAGTCGTTAGGGAATGTAGGAAGGATTTGATTGTGACCAGTTTGATCTCATGTGCTGTCACGGGTAGGATAGCAGAGTTTACTTCCCGGCTGCCCACCCGCGGAAGGGTGTTTCCTGAGGAACCTGAAAAGGAAGGTAGATTAGTGTTGGTCTTAATAGCCTGCGAGCGTGACCGCAGAGACCAAAGGAAAACTGCTTGAGACCGGCCTTTTAATGAGTTTTTAAAGTGTAAGCACTGCTCTTTTTTAGAAGGCCTTATCGCCGGAGACGGAAATCCGTGAGGTAAGGTGAGGTGTGAAGTTTGTAGGCTGGACCTTTTCTAACCTTTTCCTAAATTGTCACCAGGCAGCATCGCTGAAGATGCTGCTGCCACACTCCTCTACAGTTAACAGTAAGACTTCGCCCTGAGATCTTGAGTAGCTGCTTTAAATCTCACCGTTCTACAGTCGATCTGCCAGGCATGGCAGAACCTACAAAAACATATGTTCCAGTCAATCCAGCTTGGTTGGGTGATCACTATAGACAAGCCTGACCACCACTACAAGCTGGCAGCTACAGCTAGAACGGATCATCGCGGGGCGGTTGATTTAATGGGATTCATCAATCTACGTCAAACTAATTGACTACGAAAAGGCATTTGATAGTGTGGACAGCACAACAATGTGGAGGCTTCTTCGGAACTACGGCGTACCTGAGAAGATAGTCAACATCATGCGGAATTGTTATGATGGATTGAACTGCAAGATCGTGCACTAAGGATAGTTTACAGACTCGTTAGAGATCAGGACCGGTGTCAGGCAAGGTTGCTTACTCTCACCCTTTCTCTTTCTTCTGGTGATCGACTGGATTATGAAGACGTCAACATCTGGAGGGAGGCACGGGATACATTGGACAACAAAGAAGCAGTTAGGAGATCTAGAATTCTCAGATGAAGGACAAGACGACCAGTGAGGTGGCAGCTTCAGCGGTGGTAGGTTTCAACAAACACAAGCGAAAAGCAAGATTCTCTAATTGAACAAAACATGCACCAACCAAATCACACTTAATAAACAAGTTTTAGAGAATGTGGAAACCTTCACTTATGTAGGCAGCCTCATTGATGAGCAAGGTCGATCCTATCCAGATGTGAAGGCGCGAATAAGCAAAGCAAGGGCTGCATTTGCACAAGTGAAGAACATTTGGAACTCAAAACAACCATCAATCAATATCAAAGTCAAACTTTTAATACAAATGTCAAGACACCTCTACTGTATGGAGCGGAAACTTAGAGGACCACAAAAGCCATCAACCAGAAGATTCAAGAGTTTATTAACAGTTGTCTACGCAAAATACTTCGGATCGCTTGGCCAGAGAGAACAAACCAGGTTTCAAATGTGGAAGAAATTAAGTAGAGCTGGAGTTAGGTAGGACACAGATTGCGGAAATCACTCAACTATGGCATAAAGCAAGCCCTCACATGGTTTCTGAATGCCAAATTAGAAGAGGAAGACAAAAGACACATTACTTCGAAAATTGGAGATAGACATGAAAAGAATGAACAGCAATTAGATAGAACTGGAAAGGAAGGTGGACGATATGTTAGTTTGGAGAATGGTTGTCCATCAGCGATAACAGGTGTAAGTAATTGTTCGGATATTCCGAATTATCCTCGTGAGTCTAATTTTATGGGCCAATTCCTACTGGTCAATATTATGGTCGTCCTAGATATCAATGTCATGTGCTCCAATGTTGTTTCCTGTCGGTTGTCCTAACTTTCAGTGTCACAGACTTCAATGTTGTTTCCTATTTGACCCAACTGTATAAATATGCATTATCTCTAACGTTTTATGACCAGGACCCGGACCCCTGATACCCCCTGATACTCATCTGGAGTGGGACCTCGTACTTTCTGGATGCTTGTACAATACACGTTCTACTTCATATCAAATCTTCTTCTTTTACTCAATGAAGATTGGGACAATCAGATTAGAGTAGCATGTCGTGTCACCGGATCCTCGATCTTCGCTCTCGTTTTCTGACTAAGGTAAACTCGCGATTGTTAAAGCCTATCAAATTGACATGTTTACGTGCATTCGTAACAAAATGTGATGAAAGTCACAAAAAGTTCTTGATATCCCTAATAATATTTATTTATTAAATGCTAAGATAATTAATGGTTCTAAAATACCCTTATACTCATTCAGAAATGAACCAAAAGCTAAAATGTTACATTTGAAATGGTTGTCCAAACAATAAACGCCCACCAAAAAAAAACAACAGTTTGTTTGCTAATAATGAATTTAACCAAAAAAATAGTGCAAATTCATACTACTCATAAGTAGTAAAAAGTTGTTATACGAGAATTTACGAATAAGCTTTAAAAAAATGTTGTTCAAAGTAGCACATAACTGACATCTGTTACACCCATTGGAGCATAGGATGCCAATCAGCATCCTCCAGGCTACTCTGTCCTGCGCATTCCTTTCCAGTTCTGTCTAAACGTTGTTCATTCTTCTCATTTCTGTCTCCATTCCTCGACGCTATATGTGTAGTGAAAGAGAACACAGGTGAGGGCAACCGAATTGTATTTAACGAGAATTACAGAGTTACTCAGTAAAATCGGAAAACCATATCGTAAATCGTTCATTTGCAAAATATCAGTCCATCATATCGAACTGGAGGACTGTTCCTGTTGCAAAACATCAATCCATTGTCACTCACTATTGATGCGTTTCATACAAATTCCATTGTTTTCTAACTCTTCCTTTCTTGATCTTCCCCCATCTTCCGCTGCCAGACATTACGTTTACACTCACATCATATACTACTTATAAGTAGCTCACACCACATATGTTCTTCCTCTCTTCCTTTGATCTCGAGGATTCCAAGTAAAGAGCTTGTCTTGTCACACATTTGAGTGCTTTACTCAATATGTATCCTATCCACTTCCAGCGCCTTTTCCTGACTTATTCATCTGCTGGAATCTGGTTTGTCAATGTTGATACATATCTTCAAAAACTTACACAAGGAAATTCAAAGAGGAAAGAATGTAGATATGTCAAAAAATAAGAGTATTCACTAATAAGACAAGTTATTTGTGGTAAATATTAAATGCGTTTATTGTTTTACATGGAAATCATGAATGAATCATTGTTAGACCACATCACATTAGAAATCTGGAAACAATGCTGGATGGCCATTTCGTCCTAAATATGTGACCCATCAGAAGTGCAAACTCTTCAAGTGCGAATCCTTCGAGTAGCTGACATTGTGGATGCGCACTGCTGATGAGTTCCATATAAGGACGAAACTACCACCATCCAGTGCTCTCAGACTTCTAATGGCGGTTTAACAGTGATTCATTCATTCATTCAGTCAGATGCAACGTACAACTTAGTACGTAAGTACATCAGTTCATGTTGCCATACCACATTAGCACTGAGAGATATAATTGTCAATTCAAATCCAATAGTAGTAGAGGTAGTAAAGGTATCAGAAGTAATCAGAGAGGTTACGATTAGAAGATATTATTCAAGAAGTATGTGATTCATTGAGATAAGTTTAGAAAGACAAAACTAGAGGTGTTGAAGAATCTAGAAGGTTATAATTTGAGAGAACACAAAGAATAAATGCACCGGCGCCATTGAAAACGATTCTGAACCATGTCGTTCAAGGTCTCTAATCATTGGTGACTTTCATCTCGCGGACCCCAACCAAGTAGTCAACAACTACCGACGTGACTCAGTCCACCTGTCAATGACTTGATGGATTTCTGCCATGTTTTGGTCTGGCCGCCCCTAACTTTCTTCCAACCTATTCCTACACCACAAAACAAAGCTCGACGAGGCAGTCGGTGGTTAGGCATACGCAGCACATGTCCCAACCACCTCAATTGATGAAGTTTCATGATTTCATCTATTGATCTGCCATTCTTACCTAGCACCCAATTCCTAATAACAGCGTTGCTCACTCGGTTGTCCCACGATATACGAGCAATGCTTCGAAGACACCTATGATCGAAAACCAGTAACTGACGAATATCTTCCACTCTCACTGGCCATGTTTCACAGCCATAAAGTAAGACAAAGCGAACTGCTGGAAACACTGGATGGCCATTTCGTCCTAAATATATGACCCATCAGAAGTGCAAACGCTTCAAACGAGAATGCTTTCGAGTAGCTGACATTGTGGATGCGCACTGCTGATGAGTTCCATATAAGGACGAAACTACCACCATCCAATGCTCTCAGGCTTCTAATTACGATCTAACAATGATTCATTCATGATTCCAATGTTATGTTCTGTTTAAATATCATATACATATATATCAACTAATCTATTAAAAATCTTGTTTTTTTTTAAAAAAAAGAAAAAAGATCAATTTTCCAAATCGATTGACCTTGACAAATCAAAGCAATCCCACTAACCTCTTCTTGTACAAAGAATTTGTGTAACTAACTCTTGTTTGTTGATCAATCAACAAAGCAAAAGCATTATGCTAACAACATATCCTAGAAATATTTGGCAAAAATGCCAAAAACACCATCATCATCATCATCACAATATCACACAATTCTTCATAGAATTATTTATCATTTTAACATATTGTACAAGATTACATTTAACTAATTATTTATATGTTGAATTTCCGTTAACAATGCTTACAGCTAGAAGATTGTTTGGTATACCAGTTACAGAAAGATATTTAGAATTGATAAAATTTTCCCATTGGAAAACTAAATGGCCTAAAGAAATAAGTTGGAAATATTTAAAAATGGCAAATTATGAAATACCATTATATGTGAAAGAAGGCCATTGGCTACCGGATGCAATGTTGTAAGTTGTTTTTATATATGTATATACTTACTTACTTACTTACTTACTTGTGTCTGTTACCACCAATAGAGGAGCATAGGCCGCCGCCGACCAGTTTTCTCCTCCAACCAACTCTGTCCTTCGGCTTCCCTTTCCAGTTCTGTCCAATGTTTGTTCATTTCTCTCATATCTTTCTCTATTTCTCGGCGTGTAATATATTCCTGGGCCTTCCTCTTTTCGTTTAACCTTGAGGGTTCCGTGTGAGGGCTTGTTTTGTGATGCATTTGGGTGCTTTTTGTAGTGTGTTTCCCCTATCCACTTCCAGCAGTGCTTCTTCCTGATTTCCTCCTGCATTGGAATCTGGTTTGTTCTCTTCCACAGTACGTTGTTGCTGATGGTATCTGGCCAATGGAACTGAAGTATTTTGCGTAGACAGCTGTTCATAAACACTTGTATCTTCTGGATGATGGCTTTGGTAGTTCTCCAAGTTTCCGCTCCATACAGTAGAACTGTCTTGATATTTGTATTGAAAGTCATGATTTTGGAATTGGTTGAAAGTTGTTTGGTGTTCCAGATATTTTTCAACTGTAGAAACGCAGCCCTTGCTTTGCCAATCCTTGCCCTAACATCTGCATCGGATCCACCTTGATTGTCGATGGTGCTGCCAAGATATGTAAAGGTGTTAACGTCCTCCATATATATATATATATATATGGTAAAACTGTTTGTAATTACAAACAATATACGCTCATCCACAAAACGACAGGTTTTTTTGCCTAAAATCAATGTCTCCAGCGAAAGGAGTAATTTCATATTACTTATGAGTAGTCAAGTTGTTACTTGAGAATTTATGGATAGGCTTTAAAAAAATACTGTTCAACTCAGGACCACAACTTACTTATTTACGCCGGTGACCATTGTGGACCACAGGCTGTCAACCAGTATTCTCCAGTCTAATCTTTTCTGAGCCTTCCTTTCTAGTTCTATCCAATTTCTTGTTCATTCTTCTCATGTCTGTCTCTATTTCTCGGCGTGGTGTTTTTTAGTCTTTATCATTTCCTATGGCCTTGAAGATTCAAAGTTAGGGCTTGTCTTGTGAAGTGGTTGGGTGCTTTCTCCAATATGTGTCCTATCTACAAGAGTGTACACTACAACGTGAACAGTTCATCTCATTGCCGTGGCACAACTACACAAGTACCTGACATCACGATGTACTAGGTAGTAGTAGTAGTAGTGTAGTGAAGGAGAACACCGGTGGGGCAACCGAATTGTATCGATCGCAAATTACAGAGTTACTCAGTAAAATAGGAAAACCATATCCTAAACCGTTAATTTGCAAATCGTCAATCCATCATCAATCCATTGTCTGACATTTCACTTATTCATGTGTTTCATACAAATTCCATTGTGTTCCCACTCATCTTCCTTTCTCTTGATCTTCCCCCATCTTCTGCTGCCAGACATTACATTTACACTCGCGTCATATAATACTTATAAGTAGCGCGCACCACAGTAGAATAATTGACAAGGTCAGAAGACATGTGAATAATGACTAGAGAAGAGAATGATTTATTTAAGTTGTCCAAAGTTTGGGATAAGCCATATGAGCTTGACATTATTAGTTAGTACACAGTACCTCATGACTCTTTTTCTACTTCTTGAATAATATTTTTGATCCCTAATCTTTTTGATTACTGCTAATACTTCTAGTACCTACCACCTGAACTAGTGATAGGGATTGAAGTAGTTGAGCGTGTTGATCGATCACCTCACTTATCTGGAGAGTCTCATCAGTGTTGATGGCCTAGTAACTGACGAAATCTCAGTACGGAAACAGAAAGCTCGATTGGCTTTCTCCAACTTGCTACACTTATGGCATAGGCGAGATATCCTTTTTTGATAACTAAAGGACAAGTCTCCTGCGGAGCAGTTTGCTCCGTCCTACTTTACAAGTATGAAACATGGCCAGTGAGAGTAGAAGAGATTAGTAGGTTGCTTGTTTTCGATCATCGGTGTTTCCGAAGCATTGCTCGTATACCCTGGTACAACCGAGAAAAACAGTAATGTTTTAAGGAAAAGCATATTACGTAAGAATGGCAGATCAATCGATAAACTATTGATACTTCATCAGTTGAGGTGGTTAGGACACTGACTGACTACCTTGTCGAGCAATGCTTTTCGATGTAGGAATAGGTTGAAAGAAACTTAGAGGCGACCAAATTAAAACATAGCACGAATCCATGAAGTCACTGATAAGTGGACTGAGTCATGTTGGTAGATGTAGACTATAATATGGTTGGGGTCCATGAGATGATAGTAATCGATGGTTAGAGACCTTCAATCACATGGCTCAAAAACAGTTTGCAGTGTCACAGATGCATTCGCTCTTAGTGTTCTCTCTAATTCTAACCTTCTCATTTTCTCATCACTTTATCTCTCTGTAAGTTTATTTCACTAGATTCTACTTCTTGAATAATATCATCGAACCCTAATCTCTCTCCAATTACTGCTAATACTCTTACTGAAGTGAACGAGAACACAGGTGGGGCAACCGAATTGTATTTCACGAAAAATTACAAAGTTACTCAGTAAAATAGGAAAACCATATCGTAAATCGTTCATTAGCAAAATATCAGTTCATCATATCGAACTGGACTGTTCCTGTTGCAAAACATCAATCCATCGTCACAACTATTCATGTATTTCATACAAATTCCATTGTTTTCTAACTCTTCCTTTCTTGATCTTCCTCCATCTTCCGCTGCCAGACATTACGTTGACGCTCACATCATATACTACTTATAAGTAGTTCGCACCACAGCACCACATTACTACCTATACTACTATTGGATTTAAATTGACAATTCCATCTCTCCGTGTACTAATATAGTATGGCGAATTGAACGTACGCACCAAACTCTACATTATAGCTGACTTAACTGACTAAACCAATGCGAGAACCTATGATACTGGTTTCTCAACTATATACACTGAGTGTTATGTGAGTATACATTGTCTTTATAGATTTCATTTGTATATATATATATATATATATATATATAACCTTCTAAAAATAGCTAACTTATTGATTCCCTCCCATCAAATCAATTGTTTATCCAACTTTATATGATATCAGATCAATTTGTATACCAGAAGCAACACATAAAAATTTCATGGATATGGCTTATGAATTTACACATGAAGAATCTCAAAAACGATATACCATGTCAATAAGACATCATTTTACTTTTAGAAAGCAATATTATACTAGAGGATATTTGATTATACTTTCATTTCTAATCAATCTATGTCAATGTAGACGAAACATTGTAAGTTTTTTTTTTTAAATTTGACCTTGTTGTTTAAATTTTCAATTTAACTTGTCTTGTTCAATTGTCGTATTGATCATTGATCGATGATAGCAAGTCTGTTTTCGTATTTGTGAATTTTCCCCAATCAAACAAATTTATTTCAACACCACAGCAAAGTTTAGTATTAGTCATAGTGTGATGTGTGCTACTTATACGAACGATATAAGTAGTATAAGAAGGGACGTGAAAGAAGAACTCTCACGGTCAGAAGAGGAAAACGGAAAGCAAATGGAGCAAAAGCAACAAGTAGATGGAGTAGTACCAACAGAGGAAGGAAAGGAAGCAACAACAGGAATCGAAGAAGAAGGATGGAGTGTTGGAAGTCACGACTCAAAGATGGTGTGCAAATAGAGTATTCAATGTAATGTTTTCGTTTTTAACTGACTTGGAGTGTAAATTTGCATCATACAATCTACCGCGCCCGCCTCAGTCTTCTCAATTGGTGTCGCTGACTTTACACAGCATGACGATCCCATGGCCTCGGGAGTTTGAAGACGGAGATGTAAGGAGCTTCTTGAAGGAGTTCGTAGCCGTGGTGGAGCTGGTAGGAGTCAAGGAGCAGAGGGCGAAGGTGGTAGTGTCGGGGACTCTACTAAGAGGCAGGGCGAGAGTGGTGTACGATGATGTGGAGGACGCTGACTGGGAGGTGGTGACGGAAAGGCTGCTGATGGAGTTCGACAGCCCGGCGGATAGGCAGGACGCACTGCAGAAGTTCCGAGAGGCGAGACTGGCGGTGGATGGCGACCCACTCGTGCTGGCTGTGGAGTTGAGAAGATTGCTGCGCCGGGGTCTGCCGAATTCGGATGAGAAGTGGCAAGCACAGCTGCTAGCGTCGCAATTCATTGAAAGTGTGCCTTCAGAGGTTGCCCAACAGTTGCGACTGGTCACTGGACGTCACCGAGCTGGCTAAAGTAACGAGACATCTGATGAACCCAACAGTCGCCTCGGTGGCGTGTGAGAGACAGGCGGATGATGTCGCAAAGAAGATAGAAGAGTTACAACGCGAGGTGGCAGCGTTACAAATAAAGGGTGGAAGAAATAATAAATGCTATATTTGCTCAGTAACCGGGCATTGGAAGAGGAACTGCCCAACAAAAAGAAAACATTACGTTGAATACATTCTATTTGCACACCATCTTTGAGTCGTGACTTCCAACACTCCATCCTTCTTCTTCGATTCCTGTTGTTGCTTCCTCTCCTTCCTCTGTTTGTACTCCATTTCCTTCTTGCTTTTGCTCCATTTGCTTTCCGTTTTTATCTTCTGACCGTGCGACTTCTTCTTTCACGTCCCTTCTTATACTACTTATATCGTTCGTTTAAGTAGCACACACCATATGTGTACCGACATGTTGAGTACATGGTGCTTGGTCTCGTGGCTTTCGAACAAACTTATTGACATTTCCTGCCCAGGTCATGATTCACATGTCTCCCGACCCTATCAATTATTCAATCATATCTTGGTTGCTTCTGCTCGAATGTGTGTGCGTGTGTGCATGCTTACTTGGCTTCTTGCGTATATGGCTTATTCTTGCTTAGTCATACTTCATTGTGTTGAAATGGCTCAGTCGCCTTCTCCACTTCAAATGAATGGCTCAGTTTGTACGCTTTTCATTGTCATGTCTATCTGCATGAATGCGTCAGCTGTACGCTGATTGGCTAATTTCTATCTAATCAACGCCTGGTCGATCGATACTTGGACAGCATTCTAGAAAATTCTCGTGTTGTGTTAGCTGCACGTTGGTTGGCTAAATCTAATCCGATCAGAGCTAGTCGATGAGTGGAATGCATTACAGAAGCTTCTCATGTAAAAACTATCAAGATACTAGCGTTGTTCCTATTTCGTCTTAGCTTCGGCTTCATACTTCCATTTAACCTTGCTATTTGGAGAATAATCTCTAATCCCTAAGTATGTGATATACAGAAATTGAGGAGAAGATTTATTTTATCACACTACTCGATCATTCGTTCAAATTAAAATCAGATCACGGGCCATTAAAATTGTGAACCATTCTTCAATTTTAACGCAGCCAACAATGAATGATATTGAAAAAAAAGACGTCTTAGATGGAGAATGTTACAAATTATACACATTGAAATCTTCCTAGAATGGGACCCATCAACAGTAAGCATCCACGACTCCTGTTGCTCTCGGGCTTCGAATCTAGGACCTCCGGTCTTGCGCGAGAACGCCTAACCATCAGAACTATTTAGCCAGCATCCAACTGTGTTAATTTTTAGCACGGATCAATCTAAAGATTTTGTGCAACCTCACCTATTACTTTCAATAGTTAGTGCTTACACCTGATAGGGTTGAACTCCAAATGATCATGTCTTCTTACTAGAACTCTGAGAACATCAACAAGCCAGTCACTTGTGAGAACAATTTTCGAACTTCACGGAACCTGTAAATGCTTTTTATACATAAAAATAAATCTTGGAATTTTCGTCATAGACTGAAAAACCAATTGACATATTGTGCAAAAAATCAAGGACCATTGTACATCATCCAACACTTACTGGGGTTAAAAGTAACACACTACCTGTGTGTAGCCCTAAAGGTCCCCCCAGCTTCAATCTCTATTCAGGTCGTGAATGCTTATTGCTAATGTGTCTCATACCAGAAGAACTAAAACACATATTCATCACTCTTTTGATTCATCTACTGGTATTAAAAAAAACTGATGTCAATCTATGACAATATAACTAATAGCCTACCATTAAAAATCAATAGTTATGTTCTACGTTGGATGTCGGTCCATAGGTCCAGAGGTTAGGCATTTGCGCACAATAATACTGAAGGTCCCGAGTTCGACTGGTGGATGCTCACTGCCATACCAGGACGTAACGGCGTCTTTCAGTGCTTCCAGGTTTCTAACCATGGTCTTACAATGATTGATTGATGATTTCTGTTACGCCTGCACGTAAACACGTCAACTTGATATACTTGAACTATATCGAGTTTACCGTAGTCGGAAAACTAGAGCGAGGATCGAGGATCCGGTGACACGACATACTACTCAAATCCGATTATCCCAACCGCCATATTTAGTAAAAATAAAAAGACGTGATATCAAGTAGAACCTGAACTCTACAAGCATCCAGCAAGTTCGAGGTCCAAATCCAGACGAGAATCAGGATCCCGGACTAGGGATCCGGGACCGGGACCTGTTCCTGGTCCTGGTCATAAAGCGTTACAGATAATGTGTATTTATACATTTTGGTCGAATAGGAAACAGCATCGAATTCTGTGACATTGACAGTTAAGGCGACCAATAGGAAGCAACATTTGAAGTATCTGACATTGATAGTCAGGACAACCAATAAGAATCAACATTGGAGTATGCATGTGACATTGATATCTAGTAGGACGACCAATAAAATTGACCCATAGGAATTAACCAATAGGAATTGACCAATAATAATTCTCTCTCTAGGATATTGGATGAATATCCTAACAATTTCAAAGTTACTTTTTTACTCAGACTAGTTTCTACAAATAAAAAAAACACTAATCATAATTATTGATTGATTGATTATTCTAGAATCCGGAAATATTTTGTCCAAATCCATGCACTAAACCAAATGTTTGTCATGATGATGTGCATAGTAATGGTGTATGTACAATCAGATCAAATGAACAATTGTTAAATGATTTCCCACCTATGACAGTGAAAAAATTAAGTTCAATCTATACCTTTGATTATGAATGTGTCTGTTTAAATGAGTACACTTTTAATAAAACATTGAAAAAATGTGTACCAGTGCAAAAACATTGTGATTCTTCTATGTAAGTTTATATTATTTGTGTATTTGTGTTCTATTCTCTCTATTTGGTTGATAAGTGTGTGGTGTGAGCTACTTATAAGTAGTATATGATATGAGTGTAAACGTAATGTCTGATGGCAGCATAATATGGGGGAAGATCAAGAAAGGAAGAGTTAGAAGAACACAATGGAATTTGTATGAAACGCATGAATAGTGACAATGGATTGTTGATGTTTTGCAACAGGAACAGTCCAGTTCGATATGATGAACTGATATTTTGCAAATGAACGATTTACGATATGGTTTTCCAATTTTACTGAGTAACTTTGTAATTTTCGTTAAATACAATTCGGTTGCCCCACCTGTGTTCTCGTTCACTACAAGTGTTTATACTTCTCTCTTCATTACAACTGACAGATTCCTATCGGTTAGTTAATAGTTGCGGACACCAATATGCACTCGACAAGTCCCCCAAGTCAGAACACGGTTGAACAGGAGAATAGAGATTATATTTTCCAAATAGCCAGATTAAATGGAAGTTATAAGCCGAAGTGAAGGCGAAATAAGAACAACGTTATTGTCTTTGTAGAATGTTCTCGAAGTATCGACCAGACGCTGATTGGATGGGAATTAGCCAATCAGCGTACAGCTAACGCAATCATGCTTTAATCTTATCTATGTCCCGACAACACTAAATTACCACTAAGACAAATCATTCATCTTGTTAGTCAGTCAGTTACAACGCAGAGATTTGTACGTACGTACATACAACAGTTCAAGCTGCCATACTACATTAGCACGGAGATGCAATTGTCAATCTCATAGTAGTAGAGGTAGTAAAGGTATTAGCTGTAATGAAGAAGATTAAGGTTCAAAAGTATTATATTCACGAAGTATAATTTAATGAGATAAATTTAGAAAGAGAAAGATAAAAGTGATGAGAAATTCAGAAGATTAGAATTTCAGAGAACACAAAAGAGTAGATGCACCTGCACCATTGCAAACGATTTTGTGCCATGTCGTTCAAGGTCTCTTAACATTGGTTACTTTTGTCTCACACAACCCAACTAGATAGTCTACATCTACCAACATGACTCAATCCAGTCATCTTGTAAACTTTTATCAATCAAACGTTATAATGATGGTGAAGGTTTTTAAGCTCATAGTTGAATATGGTCTTCTTGGTGAAGTTTTTTTCTGCAGGCTGGATGGTTTAGTGAAGCTCTCATCGCTGTACTTCTCTAAATGAAATCATTCAACACAAAATTCAGATAAACGTTAATTGGTTGAATTTTCCCAACATATGACTCATAGCTTGTCCTTGTCGAATTTGATCATGATTGGCTGCTCTATTGTTGACCTTCATCGTTATCTGAATGATTTATTTTGATTTGATGCCTGATTCTATATGTGTTCATAATTTTTCGGATTAGTTGATAAATTAGATTGCCTTTAATGTGTTTGTTGATTGCTCATTAACTTCAGTGTCAAACTTTTAGACGCTCCCTCGATTAGCTGCATTAAACGTTCTCTTCATTGATGGTCAATAAGAAACTTCTAAGCTTCTGAAGCTACTATCCAAAGGAGATACTGTTTGTGATGTACTTTGAGATAGACTGACCAAAGTAACAATGAGAAAGTGTAATGTAGTTAATCTCTGTCTGTCGTTTTCTAGCCAATTTACGGTGATTCCTCATTTAAAGGATAAGTTACTTGATTTCTCCAAATCCATGCGTTTCTACGAATTTATCAGTTCCTATGGTGAAAGTTATATTTGGTGTGCAAAGAGTTATCTGAGCCGACAGGTTGGCGAACACGATCTCATCAACACAACACCCAACTAAGTTCTTTCACAGTTCACCGATAACAGAAGCTTTAGAGATTTAAATTATCAATCCAAGTCTTTAAATTCCTAAGAAATTTTTGACACTTCTATCCCTTCTTTAGATATTTATTCCATTACAGAGTTGTGAAAATTGTTGAGTTACACATTTTGAAACCATCAGTAGATCAACGTTAGACCACCACCATTAGAAACCTGGAAGCACTGAAAGACTGCCATTTCGTCCTGGTATGGAACTACTCATCATTGGCAGTGCGCATCCACGACTCCTTCACCTGGCAGGAATCGAACCCGGGACCTTCGGTCTTGTGTGCAAATGCCTAACCTTTGGATCAAGTTAGACGTTAACACCGTTGGATGCCAGCCCAGGAGTCAAATGGTTAGGCGTTCGAGCACAAAACCGAAGGTCCCGAGTTCGAATCCTGCGGTGTACAGGAGTCTTGGATGCACAATGCCACTGATGAGTAGTCCCATACCAGGACAAAAGGGCCATCTTTCAGTACTTCCATGTTTCTTATGCTGGTGGTGTAACATCATTGATCATCGGTTCATGATTTCAAAATATGTAACTTCACAATCTTCACAATCCCGTGAAATGCAATAATATACACACATAAATTATTCCCTATCACTAATTTCTAACAATTAATTTTATTGTGTTCATTTTTCAGTTGTTTGAATAATGGAGAATGTGAATATTTAACAGAGAAGCAACGAATTATTCCTAATATTGAATTTATGTGTAAATGTCCACCTGCATGGAAAGGATTAGCATGTGAAGTAATGTCCAATAACAATGATTTTTCTCTAATAAACATTTTGTTCATAAATCACAAATAAGGTTTGTTTTCTTCATAAAGAAAAAAATAGGATTACTACTGCTGCCGGACAAATGTGAAGTTCCCCGGCAGTATCTGTGACCCCACAAACACAAGACCTAAAGATCTTTCAAAATGGCGCCAGATCTTCTGATCATTGAGTTTATACGGCACTTACCGTGAAACCTCAAGGTCATAGGTATGATCCCTGATAGGGTTGAAATTAGGGGCACTTCGTTTTCATCAGTTATCGTTTAGTAATTGTCAAACTACAGTTTCAAATCATTTACATAACACCCTATATAACTAACTATAAACAACTAAGTTGTTTAATATTTTAGGAACCAAGAAATCCATGTTTAGAAGCACCAGGTCTATGTGGACGACATTATTGTTATCGTGATCCAACCAATTTAAAACTTGGTTATCGATGTCAATGTCCAATTGGATTTAAGGTGACTAGTGCAACGAATCCAAAATGTACTAATATAAATGAATGTATAGAATATACCAATGATGATGCTTGTTTAAATGGTGGAATTTGTATTGATCAAGAACCAAATTCAACTTTTATAGATGGTGTAATGAAAGTAACTGCTGGATTTCAGTGAGTGTTCAACTTGTTCATTGTTCAATATTGTTCACAATGAATATTTTGGATTAATGTATCTATCTACTACTTTTTTAAAATGAAATTATTTAAAATTATAAACGTATTTTACTCATTACGATTGAGAATGTTTTAATCTTTAAATAGAAATTTAAAGGAAGAAAATGAATCTACATTGATTAAATGAGATTTTCGTGCCAGTCACGAATTTTCTCATGCTCTATTATTCATGGTCAGTCAGTTAAACGTAAGAACTTCGTACGTATGTACATAAGTTCATGTTGACATACCACATCAGCACAGAGACGCAAATGTCAAATCAAATCACATAGTGATAAAGATAGTAGAGGTATTAATGGTAATGAAGAAGACTAGGGTTTGAAGATATTATTCAAGAAGTATAATTCAGTGAGATAAGGTTAGAAAGACAAAGGTAGAAGTGCTGACGAATCCAGAAGATTAGGATTTGAGAGAGCTCAACGAATGGATGCAACTTGCGCCATTGCAACCGGTTTTCAGCCATGTCATTGAAGGTCTCTAACCATTGATGACTTTCGTCTCGTGGACCCCAACCACGTAGCCTACATTTACCAACATGACTCAGTCCACTTGTCAATGACTTGATAGATTTCTGCCATGTTTTGGTTTGGCCGCCCCTAACTTTCTTCCAACTTCTCCTATACCACAAAAAATAGCTCGTCGAGGCAGTCGGTGGTTAGTCATACGTAACACATGTCCCAACCACCTCAACTGATGAAGTTTCATTACTTCTTCAAATGACATTTCATTCTTACCTAGCGCCCATTTCCTAACAACAGCATTGCTTACTCGGTTATCCCAGGATACACGAGCAATGCTTCTTAAACATCTATGATCGAATACTAGTAAGCCACGAACATCTCCTACTCTTAACGGCCATGTTTCGCATCCATATAGGAGAACGGAGCGAACTGCTGCGCAGTACACCCGTCCTTTGGTTAGCGAACGGATATCACGCCTACTCCATAAGTGACGCAGGTTGGCAAAAGCTAATCGAGCCTTCAGTAACCGTGCTGAGATTTCGTCAGTCACCAGGCTATCAGCGCTGATGAGACTCCCCAGATGAGTGAAGTGATTAACACGCTCGACTACTTCACTCCCTATCACTAGTTCACGTGCCGATGCAACCCAGTCTCGAAGCGACATTTTGCATTTCGACGGGGAAAACCGCATCCCGAACTTGCTCGCATTGTTGCTTATGGTAGTCAGTAGACTCTGCATTTTGTCAGCGTCTTCACCGAATAGAACTATGTCATCGGCAAATTCTAGATCAGTGAGCGATTTTCCTGGTAGAAGGTCAACCCCTGAAAAATTTGTCGAGCTTGATGTTAACTCTAAGAGGATGTCTACGACAAAGTTAAACAAGAATGGAGAGAAAATTATTCATGGTGAATGCTATTGACTAAGATCTGTGTCTCTGACACTGAATCAGTTAATAAAACTATATAATTGTTAATCCTTGAGTCGATATTTAACTAAATTACTTACTTACTTACTTACTTACTTACTTACTTACTTCTTTACTTACTTACTTACTTACTTACTTACTTACTTACTTACTTACTTACTTACTTACTTACTTACTTACTTCTTTACTTACTTACTTACTTACTTCTGTAACCCCCAACAGAGCAAAGACTGCCGACCAGCATTATTTTTTGTGGTTAGCTTTTGGTGGTGACCGAGTCGCGAGTGACTGTGACCACCATTACATGCTAATTACAAACCCGTCACTGAGAAGATAAATAAATCCAGGGTAAGGTAAATATTTGCTGGTGATTTCTCGATGTTGGAAGAACACCGAAATTAAACCAGGAAAGTGGGCGAATTTACAGAGCAGCTAAAGTTAAGAATGGCTGAAATTTTTTGAGCGTATAAACAAAAAGTCCAGTTAAACAATCACTGGTACAACTGGTTTAAAATAATGAGTGTTTGCATCAAACCAATCGCGTTCTCTTCATAAAAGTGGACCCACTACAAGCTTTTTTGTAGCGTGTAGATTTTCTACGGGACAGAATAACTCACCTCATGCCTGATCCTCCTCCGTTATCCGGGCTTAGGATCGGCAGTAACTCCAGAAGGGCTCCAAGCAGAATCGATTATTATAAATAACTTGAACATACATCTTAAATGCCTTTTATCGTCTCTGATGAATCCTCCAAATTAGATTAGTCATGGAACAAAGTTGAGGCTAAATGGATTTTTCCTCCCATGGTATCTCATTAGTCCCTAGAGTTATTGCAGGATACCTCGCTAGATAACAATTACCTCTAGGAAGTGAAATATCGTTGAAGATATCTGTATTTGCGCCTAAATTCTCAAATTCAAAATGTAAGCTTATCATTCTGAATAGATGTCCACTCTTCTAAGGAAATTACTTAGAATTTATGATTTGTCATATTTTTTTCCTGAAGGTGTATATGTCGAAGCGGTTATTATGGACAACGTTGTGAACATATATCTCCACCATTGGAATGGACTATATGGTCTGAATGGTCAGAGTGTTCAGTGACATGTGGTGTCGGTGTACATAAACGTTTTCGTAATTGTTCATTGCCTAATCGTTGTGTTGGTGGTTCATATGTACAAGTTAGAAAATGTCGAGGAAGTGTATTATTTTGTGGAAATGAAAAGATTGATGATTCAATTGAATCAGGAGGATCAAACATTTTAGAAAGTGTAAGTACAAGTGCCATCATTATCTGTTTGCATAAAACGTTTTGTATAATTCTAACGTATAATGATGAGTTTGTACTACATCGACTCTGTTAAGAGGCCTTCTAAGGTTACTGCCCGCCAGCCGTAAGGTAGGTTGAGCATGGGGTTAGCAACCACATCCCGTAGAAAATCAACACGCTACAAAAACGCTTACCATAAAAAATAATTCAAACCATTTAAACTTTGCATTGGGAGTTGAGAGGTTTTCCGTCAGAAGAGTTTTGACGTCTAATGATGAAAGTTCAGATTCTTCGGAAGTCATGAGGTCGAGATCCTATATGACAACCAGAGCAATCATTTAATACAAGTCAATAGAATCGGATAGAACTGGGAACGAAGGTACAGGACAAAGTAGGTTGGAAAATTCTGGTCGGCGGTCTGGATTCAATACTCTATTGATCAACTAACTGACTGACTGACTGACTGACTGATAGAGTGATAGACAGACTGGTTAATGGACTGACAGTCAGTCAATATATCATGAGTAATGAAGTTCTGAACCACTGTATATTATTTTGAATTGCATACCCCAGAATAGCACATAAGAATAAAATTATGGAGAAAAATTCCAAAACAGTCGAAATATTAGTAGGTGTAGATAGAAAGACAAACCAAAGAAAGAAGAAAATTGATTCCAGACTTCAGATTCTAGAGTGAATACCTCTGTACCATTGAGAACTATTCGAAAGGGTCATAACTGTTAACACTTCATAGTCACTGAATTATTCCTCAGATCAGCAATCACTCATTGATTCCCCTCTCTATGTGATATTTTAAAAACATTTCCTTTCATTAGAAAAGATACATTGAAAACTATGAGTAGTTCATAGACTTTCAACTATTCAAAACTCTTATAATTTTACAGCTCACTTAGAGAGAGACAACTGAAGTTCTTGCAGAATCCAACAGAATATATTCATTTACTGTAGACCCTCACTCAAGTAAATCGAAAAGGGGTAATCAAGGGAAAAACATTCCAAGAAGTTGTTTGTTCGCCTGCCATGGAGTAACAGTGTGACATTCTCTCGGTTTGTCGCCTTGTGTTTGGAATATCATTGAATCGTCAACTTTTTGTCTGATTACACACTGAATTGATGACTTTCCGTCTAAATACATATGTGTTGACGCAAGGTTATGCGAGGTTTTATGCTAACTATGACTGAGTAATCAAAGTTTCTTAAAATTTATAAAACTGTGATGCATACATTTTGTGATGAAATTAAGCAATTCATTTATAGTTACTTCATTGTTATTTATAGATAGATTGTGTACATTCAATGTGATGGCGCCAGTTATACGTATTTGTTGAAAATAATAAGTTAGTTAAAACAAATATAAGGCAGGATGAATTTGAGGTAATAAATAAATGTTTGGTATAAACAGGTGGTCAAAATGTTTGTTCAAACCAGAGTGTAAAAATGCATGTAACCGTGACTACAAAAAGACTACAGTCAAAATGACGGAAAAAATGCTATAATAAGATTGTTCCCGCACTTGAAATCACGAACTGATCTTAACTAGACTACCATTAAGAACCTGAAAAAACTGAACGGCCGTTTCATACTACTGTGGAACTCCCAAATAGTGCATACCTACAGCCTTCGCGCCCGAGAACGGACACCACGAGATTCAGTCTTGTTCACGAACGCTTAACCTATACACCACTAAACTAGCATATAATTGTTTCAATGTCCAACTCTAATAAATCTTTCATATCGCGCGACCTCATCCATTGACTGCGGTAGAAAACTTCAATAGTCGCAGTCTCCAACGGAAACTCCAAGAACTCGTCTTGAAGCCAGTCACTAGTGAAGATTGCAAAAGATCATGAATTAATTAAACGTTAGTGGTCTAGAGGGTTAGCGCTGGCGCGTTAGACCGAATATCTTAGGGTTCCATTCCCTTTGTGCAGAGGTCATGAATGTACAATGCTGAGCAGTCTCATACTAATCCGAGACGACCATCTAGCATTTCCAGGTTCCAAATAATAGTCTACTCTAGATTAGTTGGTGATTTTGTTAGGATATTCATCCAATATCCCGTCAGATCAGATCACGTGATGGATGGTCGCTTAAACCACAATTTGATTGGTTAGTTATGACACAACTACAATTAGTTATGGAAGTAACTAACACAGTGTTGTTTCTTATTGGTCGAACTGACTATCAATGTCATTTCAAATGTTACTTCCTATTGGTCGTCTTTACTGTCAATGTCACGAATTTCGATGTTGTTTCCAATTCTACCTAAATGTATAAATACGCATTATCTGTAACGTTTTATAACCTGGACCCGGACCCGGACCTCGTACTTTCTGAATGCTCAAAGAATACACGTTCTACTTCATATCAAGTCTTCTTCTTTTTATTCAATAGGAGTTAGAACACACTAGGATTAGAGTAGCATGCACATGACATGTCCCCTTGATCCTCGATCCTCACTTTCATATTCTCCGACTAAGGTAAACTCGTATTAATAATAATAATTCAAGTATATCCAACTAAAAAATAATACACTGTTTACTCATACCCTTCATTGAACAGAAGAAAAATGTCAACTAAAATACTCATCTTTCTAAATTTTATTTTATTTCATTAGTTAAATACAACAGAATGGCATGATTATAATAATTATTCAATAAATCATACATTCTCTTGGAATAATTTACAATTTACTGGTGAAAATCTTGATTTATTACATTCTGGTATTTCTAATACGACTACTGGCAATTGGTTAGAATGGATTAGTACATTACAATTAACTAAACAATGGACAATGACAGGATTAATTATCACATATACAATTATCAATATGTTATTATATACACCAGTATATTTGATCATTGTTTGTTTGAATAAATTCATTCAATTTATATTGAACAAAATAAAACAAACAAAAAATGTTTGAATAATAATTATCATGTCAATCGACAATTGTAATTATCTCATTAACAGCATCATTTAAGTCTTTATTCGAATCCTCTTATGTGTTTGTGTGTGTGTGTCTAAACTATTGTTGTTTTACTAAGCTGTTTCATGTGGCGAAAATTTGAATAAATATTTGATCGACTGGAAAATATGGTTTCATTGTTTTTTATACAATGAAACTAGGAGTTTATTGATTTTTTACTTAAGTTGTGTTAGACTATTTATATGCTGATTGTGACTAAAACTTGTTATACTTTGTACAACTCAGTAATTAATATACTAATTATACTTAAATTGACATGATAACACTTTCAAGCAATCTGTTCAGGGTGATTAGATAGCATGTCAGTCAACCTCAATGTAGAACTTCGTACGTAAGTACATCAGTTCAGGTTGCTATAGCACATTAGCACGGAGACGCAAATGTCAGTTCAAATCCAAGAGTGATAGCGATAGTAGAAGTATTAGCAGTAATGGAGAAGATTAGGGTTTGAAGATATAGTTCGAGAAGAATAATCTAGTGAGATAAATTTTAGAAAGCGAAAGATAGAGATGTTGAGGAATTTGGAAGGTTAGAATTTAAGAGAACACAAAGAGTGGATGCACCTGCGCTATTGCAAACAATTTTGAGCCATGTTATTCAAGGTCTCTAATCATCAGTTATATCCTATCGCGGACGGCAACTAAATAGCCTACATCTACCAACATGACTCAGTCCACTTGTTGATGATTTCATGGATTTGTGCAATATTTTGATACGGCCGTCCATGGCTTTCTTCCAACCAATTCCTACACCAAAAAACATAGTTCGACGAAGCAGTCGGTGGTTAGTTAACAAGAGTAATTGATGAATAACAATCTTTATTATACAGACGAGAAATCAAATATGGTTATTAATCACTATTCAAAAGGTGACCAAACGATAAAGGAACTATCGATTGAAATGCTCTGTTTGATTTTATGTATGCTACGTAGAAGAACCCTGTTTTTTAGCAACAGTAGTAAAAGAAAGTTACATAGGAATTCAGATTAGAAGAATTTATTTTAGACATTCTTTTGTGTAGACAGATGATGAGATTGGCAACGGAGTAAGTAGATGTGTTAACTGAGGTTGTATTATGTAACTCAGTCTTTTAAAACATTAGAGAGATACAAGTATAGAGATACACCTATGGACTGTATAAAGCATAGTCAGGGTTACATGTATGTAATTGAAAAAATCAAACATCTAGGTGACAGTACAAACAAAAGGGTTTGGAACAATTTATCTATTCAAAGGTTATACCTCATCAGTAGGGGTGCGATTGAAGAGATTCACTGTTATCTGAACTCATAATCAGAAACGGAGGGTGGTTAGCAATGGATTCTACGATTAGCGTTTCTTTCTATTTTCAACTCGTCAGTTGGATCTTGGACTCCATCACGTTATAAACTTAGCTACTGTGTCTACTTAGTCAATGGTCTGTGAAATAAGGTTATTGTCAACTTCTTTTGACATTTCCGGTTTCATTCGCTTCTTGTTGGTTTTTTTATAGTGTGCAGTACTATACTGCTTATTCAACTTCAACTACTAAAATAATTAATTATCAGTCATTTCAAACATGTCAATTAACATCGTTATTTCTAATAAATGATGTTGATTAATTCCTTGTACTATTTGTGTTTAATTTACCTGCATTAGTTTACTTTCAAAGCGTATGTTCTTTGCTAACATCTTTTATTGAGAATCTTTACTGAAAGTATTTTTGCCGGCTTCGCCTTATCACTCATTCATGAAAACAAAAAACCACTACAATTCTCAAGGCGCAAACTAAGAACACAAAAAATTGCTAGAAATGAATATTTCTTCACTCCAAAGCATGATACTTAGTCCTAAACATAAACTCATTTATGTAATATCCATAAAACGTTGATCTGAAAAATATGGTGTCCGGAGATATCATAGATGATAGAGAGGAGCAGTGTAGGTTGATGCAGTGATTTCTAGGTCGGAGGTTAGAATCTGCCTCGGTGGACACAACCTGAAGACCCCTCTGCAGTTAGGTTCGGTCCCAAACACAGATAAAAGACGAAGGTTGGGCATGAAGTTAGCCACTCGACTGGGTAGAAAATCAACTTATAAAAAAAGCTAACCAAAAGAATAATTCAAACCCTACCTTGGCAGTTGGAATGTCCTCATTCAGAAGAGTTATGACGTCTCACGATGATGGCGTAGTTCCTTTGGAATTCACGAGGTTGGTGCCCCTTCTGGCAACCACAGCAACTCTTCTATTAAGTACATAGGATGTTCAAAAAATTTGGGAAACTAGAGACTTTTCTAAAGTGCGGCAGTAATGAACAGATACAACCTGGAGGTACTTAGTATCACTGAAACACATTGGACGCACGTTGTTATACTAAGACTAGCTTCAAAAGAGTTGATGTTATACTCCAGTCATGAAGAAGAAAACTCTCCACACACACAAGGAGTTGCACTTATGATATCAAAGCAAGCAAAAAAACCACTGATAGGATGAAAATCTCATGAACCCAGGATCATCAAATCCTGCTTCAAAACACAGAGAGAGGAGATCAAAACCAATACCATTTTCTGCTGTATGCCTACCAACGATAATAATGAGGATGGTAAACTTGAATTCTACGAGAAGGCACAGTCAATCATCGACAGATGCTCATCAAAGCATTTTACCATTCTGATGGGAGACCTAAATGCCAAGGCTGGTATGAACAACACCGAATATGAAGACATCATGGGACGACATGAACTGGGAGAAAGGAATGAAGATGGTGAGAGATTCGCAAACTTATGTGCCTTCAAAAACTAGCCATAGGCGGAATCATATTCACACACACAAACGCATCCACAAATCTACATGGATTTCATCGGATTACACCACACAGAACCGAAGTGACTACATCTGTATCAATAGAAAGTACGAAAAGACCATGGAAGACTCAAGAAAATGGTAGGAGCTGATATAGCTTCAGACCCTATTTGCTGGTAGCCAACACAAAGCTGAAATACAAGAATCACTGGATAGCTGGGCAAGTGGCATAACAAAGTTTGGAACGAACTTTCTTCGGAATACTGACCAATCCAACGATTTCAAGTTAGCCCTCAGATATAGGTTCCCGACCTTTCACGGTCTACTCAATGGAGAAGGAACTACGACTGAGCATAACTAAAAAGGGGTCAAGGAAGCAACATATCATGAGGTTCTGGACCATAAGAAGCACCGTCACAAAGAATGAATCACTGTTGAAATACTGTATGTGATTCAAGAAAGTGGGAATGAAAATGCAGCAATCAACAACTGCCGAACAAGAGAAGAGAAAGCTAAGGCATAAGCTGAATGCACAGAAGCAAACAAACAAGAGAAGGGGAATATCAGACCTGTTAAACGTAGGTATGTGGAGGATCCAGCAATGATAGGAGAAAGCGCTTCAAGACAAGAAATTACGTGGCAACAAAGAAACTTGCTAGAAATTACCGTAAACCAGAACGACTAGTGAAAAGCAAGGAAGACAAAGTAATGATCAGCAGTGAAGTACAGCGAAACAGCTGCGTAGAGCACTAAGAATAACTACTGAATTGACTAGCTCCATTGAACCCACCCAACATTGAAGCAGCACTCATGGACCTCCTAATCAATGTTGGCTCAACAACAACTGAAGAGATTAGCATGGTCATCAGACAAACTAAGAGTGACAAGGCAGCCGGACATATAAATTGATAAATGCAATGTGATGTGACGTAATCACTAATGCCATATTCAGGCTACATGAAACCATGGGCTTGGTCCTTCCAGTTGCCGTGTCAACACTATGACTGTGTCAAAAATGTAGAGCTTTAGAGTGTTAACTGAACTTCAGGCAAGCTTAGAAGCAGCCATTGAAGATTCAGACATAAAAATTCCATACAAAATCGATTTTCAAAATGGTCAGTGTGTATGAAATAAGTGGCAAGTCATATAAAGGACGCTAACAAGGCATACTACTAGACGGTTTGTCTGATTTAATACTCCCACATGAATTTCTAATAGTAGACTGATGAGTATGGTTTTTGAATGCACTTATTTCGTTCCAGGGGTCTTATTCCGTCAAAATTCAAGCCATGCATGAACCGAGGTTATGGACTTAGACTCTAATCGATTTTATCATCTTAGTTATAATGGTGGACTGAGCCTCGGCTTAATTAAGCCGCTTTACTTAGGTAACAGCACAGTAAAGCCGTATTACACAACAGTTTTCAAGCTTTGTCCACCATAAAATGTCAATCTTAAGTGAATCATAAACAAGATCACACTGAGCAGAGTTGTATTTGAGTGATGGTAGAATGGGATGATACAGAAAGAACATATGACAGAGTCACTTCAATTAATGACCTCATGGAATCCTCCGAATATTCAACGTCAGTTCTTGTTGAAATTTAAAGTTTCATGCAAGAGATTCAACATCCAGTGATCAGATATGATAGTATTAATCATGCAGGAATGCATTTAGAATATCAGATAATGAAGCCAAGGCTTATTGTTTCTTCACTAAACCTTCAAATTAATTACCGGTATGAGCGTTTATTTTTCATCTCATTTTCATTATTACTGAGAGAGACAATTCAGAGTTTTTTGGAAATGAATGATACTTCCGGTTCTCTGAACAGCAAACATACATGTCAAGCTTCTATCTCTGACGACTCAGATTCAGATCTCTAAAAAGAACAAGAATCGAACGCAAAGAAATCAGTTGGTTTATACTAGCGCGAGGAAAATATAATATATATGAGATATTAGAGAAACATTACAGAACTAGAGTCACTTATGATTTTGATGTTTGTTTAAATGAGCCACAATCTTACATTATCAAGGCAACACGTTTGTGACAGTTACAAACAAATGTCAAAGAACTCACTATGGGATAACATACTATCAGGTTAATGACTTTTCACTTTTTAATATTATATTTTAAATGTTTGTATGAAATTCACTATATGATAGTCGCCATAAATTAATTGATATCACTCGAGCGACGAGTCTAATGAAGATAATACATTTAAATAGGTGTACCATTTACTTTTGCTTGGATTAAAAAACATTAAGAGGCACTTTGCACTGTTGGTTCCTGTAAACTTATATCGTTTTTGCTGCTCATGGCACTTTATATATGGTTTTTTATGCATTAAATTCTGATATACATGCTTAATATTTGGCTTTATGCATGTCGATAAATCTCTTAAAACATGACATTCACGTATCCTGTTAGAGTTTCGATAGTGCCTCACCCATGGAATTTAGGGTTTGGGTGGCGAACTGAAGGCCAATGATATTCTTCAAATCAATTAGTTTTCTTAGTCTCTATATTCTTTCAGAACTATCATTTAAAAGTAAATTCTAGTCAAGTAGTCATGGTTTTCTTATGAAGAGTTTATTATAACAGCATAGAATACAAGTATTTATGTGGTTGAATTGACATGACACAAGATTTTCCATTATTGTATCAACTTTACCACACAATCTTCATTTTCAGTGTGACGCTCTCTATGAAAATCAAAAAACGTTCCTATCCATATTACTAAGATTTTGATGGTTTTTAACTATTCTTACTTCATCGTACAGCTAGTTAATGCTACAACTCATTCAGATATCTTATCATTTGTAGACGTCGTCTTAACCTCTCAATCTACCTACTAGTTGATCGCATTTAATACTTATTTCTTTATCTGTATTTATTTTTTACTTTGCGAGCTATTTATTTCTGGAAAGACCATAACAGAGCTCTTGTGAATTTGCTTAACTCAAAATTAATACCTTGCAATGCTGAGCGGAAATAAGTTCTGTTTAGATATTATCTTGTGGGTTAGGGATTGCTATCATTCATCCCTTTAGTTTAGAGGTCTCGAACGTTGACAAAAGATCAATGTGAATACTTCTTACTAGAGATACGGCTTTTTTAAGTATCAATAATCTAGTTTTGTTAGTTTCGTTGCATCTGGAATAATAAATTCCCTCATTATGTCAACTGGGTTAACATGTAAAGACTCAGATTTACATAAATTTGTAATGGTGAATAAATTCCTAAGACATTGATGCTTACCTCATTAGTTTTATTGAATACACTTAAGCTGAAGCACTTGATAACTCATCTGCACCAGATTACCATTGCATATGTTGTGCTACACACCTCCTTGAAGCAACCAGCCAGCTTAGATAACTCAATCCTTAATATCCCAACTATATTTCAGATAAGTTTTGGTCTTCTTTATATCCTGACTTCTGGTTTGATAAGATTTCATATTATTAATTAAAGAGGTGTCTAGGATAAAAAGTATTCAAACCCTGAATATTCGTAACATCTTCAGACAGCTTTCAGGCTCCATAATTCCATACCAAATGAAAGGATCTTACTTTATAGTCAAGATGACGATCCAATGATTCACTTCTCCATTTTCTGGTTAGCGTTTTTTTGGCAAGTGAGATTTCAACGGAATGGGGTCGCCAACCCCATGTCCAGCCCTCCTCCTTTATCCGGGCTTGGGACCGGCAGTAGCCCCTAAGGTTCTACTGGCGGAGTTACTTCTCCATTACCTCTTATATTTCTATCATCTCTACAGCAATGGGTTTTGAACTGAAAATTGCGTCTATGTGCTAATATCGTATGGCAAAATGAACTTATGTACGGACGTACGAAGTTCTACGTCTTAACTGACTGACTGACTGATTTGCTAACAAAAGTATGTTAATTAAGATTTCTGACAGCTATTCGAGGGTTCTCAATCTGATTTTAAGCCTCGAGTTTCTGGTTTGTTTATGACCAAATTTTAAAACCATTTTTTTCCAAGTCAAAAAAAGTTACTGCATGAATCCATAAAATGAGGTTTTAACTGGTTTTTAAGCTTCTACTTTTGTTATTGCATACAACACTCAGTAAATAATGGAGCTGAGTACTCTTTCTGTAAACGGCTTGATTGATGCATACAAATCAAAATACCTTACTTATTCACATTACTTGATTACTATTTGATTATTACCCGAATAGAAGCTAAACTAATGAAGATGTTGATGGATACCAACCTGCATCATGACACAACTAAGGTGGATCAAGTCATTTTGACTTTGTGTACTGAATATCTATCAACTAACCAGAGTAGCTGTGCCCACAGTGCTACACCCAGTCCACCTCACTTTAGCTCAATCCGACAGCCGATCTACACTTACTTGGTTTAGACTAGTTAAAACAGCTAACATTAACAGCATTAGAAGAAGCCAAACCACTCAGAAGTACCCAAGACTAGTTCTGATCTCCGTAACAGAAAATATCCTCTCCGACAGCGGCAAACAACAGTCAAGATGCAAATAACCCTTGTGGTTGTGTCACTTTCATTTCTTCAGAAAGAGGTGTTAGGATATACATTCAGTATCCTAAGAGAATTACTAGTCAATTCCTACTGGTTTATTCCTGCCAGTAGTCCTAACTGTCAATGTCACAGACTTCAATGCTGTTTCTTATTCGATCTAACTGCATAAATTCGCATTATCTGTAACATTTTATGACCCGGACCCGGATCTCTAGTCGGGATTCCTGATACTCTTCTGGACTCGGACCTCGTACTTTCTGGATGTTTGTAGAATACAGGTTCTACTTCATATCATGTCTTCTTCTTTTACTAAATAGGGGTTAGGACACTCATATTAGAGTAGCATTTCATGTCGCCGGATCCTTGATCCTCGCTCTCATTTACCGACTAAGATAAACTCGTTATAGTTCAAGCGTATCAAATGACATGTTTACGTGCATTCCTAACAAAAATGATCTATATACTCTGAATAATAATAATAATAATAATCTATCTCCTATTTAGTGAACTTAGATGATACTATAATTGCTTAAGCTCAATCCTTGGTGATTACATGTCACAAACGACGATGGATAAAAATCAACTCTACACATCATTTATATTGTAATCAACGAAGCCATTGCTCTCCATATGAGTCTCCTGGATATTGTTCAAGATCACTAGTCTCTACAGAATACTTTGCCAAAATGTTTAGCTAATGCTATTGTGAAAACTCCCGAACGAATCGAAACCAAGAATAATCGCGTTATAGTGTAGTGAAGGAGAACACAGGTGAGGGCAACTGAATTGTACTTGAAGAAAATTACAGAGTTACTCAGTAAAATAAGAAAACCATATCGTAACCGTTAATTTGCAAATCTTCAATCCATCATCAATCCATTGTCTGACATTTCACTATTATTCATGCGTTTCATGCAAATTCCATTGTGTTCCCACTCTTCTTCCTTCCTCGTGATCTTCACCCATCTTCTGCTGCCACCAGACACTACGTTGACACTCACGTCATATACTACTTATAAGTAGCGCTCAACACAACAGAATAACGATATTTATTGATTAGAAGTTGCGTGATATCAAAATGATATCAAGTGTACAGCCAGAAAGTGAAATAACACGAACAATCAATTCAGCAAAAGGATTCGGAAGGTTGGCGCTTGATGAGTTATGGCTTTTAGTACAGATAAACAAAAAAGGTGTACAATAAAACAGTTATTGTTATACATGTTCAATAATAATAAGTATTTGTATGTCAGCAACTATGTTTTCTCCATAAAATAGTTCCACTACACTATAATATCAATCTATTTCTCTTAGATATTTATGATGATAAATCCAACATAAACACAAATGGACTAATCTGATTGTGGTGCTGTGGTGCGAACTACTTATAAGTAGTATATAACGTGAGTGTCAACGTAAAGTCTGGTAGCATAATACGGGAGGAAGATCAAGAAAGAAAGAGTTAGAACACAATGGAATTTGTATCAAACGCATGAATAGTGACAATGGATTGATGTTTGGCAACAGAAACAGTCCAGTTCCATAGGATGAACTGATCTTTTGCAAATGAACGATTTACGATATGGTTTTCCGATTTTACTGAGTTACTCTGTAATTTTCGTTAAATACAATTCGGTTACCTCCACCTGTGTTCTCATTCACTACATGATTAGCATTTGTTTTTTTCATGAAAAAAACATCATTTAAAGTAACTAATGGCTACAATTTTTATCATTAAAAAAATAATTAAGTACCGTTGATTGATCAAGTTTTGTTGAAACATTTTACAACAAGAGTTACAATAAATTTCCCCGTCAAAATTGTTTATTGTGATAACAAGTTGTCTTTTGTTTAGTGAAATTGTTTGTGCGGAATTTGTAATTAGTTCCAGTATCGCCTTTCTATTTTTTTACACTTTGTAACATTACAATAAGAGTAGTTTATACATCTGAGTGCGAAGTTTTAAACCTTTGTGATAATTTGTCTATATATGGCAATACTTACCTACTTCATTAGCCTAGCGTGATAATATTTCTGATAGTCATTTTTAGTTGTCCTGTTTGAATGAGACACGTAGTTATATGATTTAGTCAGTCAGTCAGTCAGTTACAACGTAGAGCTTCGTACGTAAGTACATCAGTTCATGTTGCCATACCACATCAGCACAGAGACGCAAATGTCAAATCAAATCGCATTATGATTGAGATAGTAGAAGTGTTACTGGTAATGGAGAAGATTAGCGTTCGAAGATATTATTCAAGAAGTAGAATATAGTGAAATAAACTTAAAAAGAGAAGGGTAGAGGTGATGAGGAATTCAGAAAATTAGAATTTCAAAGAACACAAAGAATGAATGCACCTGCGCCATTGCAAATGATTTTGAGCCATGTCATTCAAGGTCTCTAACCATTGGTGACTTTCGTCTCGCGGACTCCAACTAGGTAGTCTACACTTACCAACATGACTCAGTCCTTTTGTCAATGACTTTGTGGATTTGTGCCCAGTTTTGGTTTGACCTACCCTAGCCTTCTTCCAACCTACTCCTAAACCATAAAGCATAGCTCGTCGCGGCAGTCGGTGGTTGGGCATGCGTAACACATGTCCCAACCACCTTAAATAATGGAGTTTCAATAAGTCATCTATTGATCTGCCATCCTTACCTAGTACACGTTTCCTAACGAGAGCATTGCTTACTTAGTTGTCATGGTACGAGAGCAATGCTTCTAAGACATCTATGATCGAATACTAGTAACACACGAACATCTTCTACTTTTAACGGCCATGTTTCGCATCCATATAGGATAACGGAGCAAACTACTGCGCAGTACACTCGTCCTTTAGTTAGCGAACGGATATCTCACCTACACCATAAGAGACGCAGGTTGACAAAAGCCAATCGAGCCTTGTGTATCCGTGCTAAGATTTCGTCAGTCACCAGGCTATCAGCACTGATGAGACTCCCGAGATAAATGAACCGTCTACACGCCCAACGACTTCACTTTCTTATCACTAGTTCAAGTACCGATGCAACTCAATCTTGAAGCAACATTTTACATTTCGAGGGGGAAACCACATCCCAAACATGCTTGTATTGTTTCTCATGGTAGTCAGAAGACTCTGCATTTTGTCAGAGTCTCCACCTGGTAGAAGATCTACTCCTGAAAATTCATCCGAGGATAATGTTATATCTAGCAACATACTTACTTACTTACTTACTTACTTCATCAATCTACCTTGATATCTTTTCTGAAGTTCATTTGTTGTATATTATGTTAGGACAATATCTTGACTCGCTCTATTCTTGCTTACTACTAGACTATTGATTAATATATGAATTAATCTTTGTTTTAATTAACTACTGTTAACTCCTTTAAAAAAAAATAATACCTCATCTCATCTCTTACTTATTTTTTTTTATCAGATTCTCAATTAGAAAAATATGGTTTAATTCCTGATGAAGTTTACAAAAATACAATTTTCAATTCATCAGATTCATTTCAACCGGTACAAGTAATGTGTTCAATAATTCAATATTAGAATTTAAAACAAATTTTTTTAAATAGTCATTTAAATTATTACCAGATAATTCATATGAAGAGGTTGATGATGATCAACAAACAACTATCGGTGGTGATGATGATGATGATGTTTCAATGAAACCAACTACAGATTATGCAAAAATATGTAAGTTAGTCAATGAATGATAATAAGTGTTTGTAGAGACCTTGAACCCGACCGAAGCTGCTACCTTGACGTGGTGCTTGTCGGGCTTGCCTATCGTGATGACCCAACCGAGCTATACTGGCTGAAACATATGTTCCTGCAGGTCCTACCATGCCAGGCAGGTCGATTGGAGAACGATGAGACTAAAAACAGCAGCTACTCAAGGTCTGAGGGCGAAGTCGTACTGCTGACTGCAGAGGGGTGTGACAGCAGTAAGGTGTTTCCCTCGGACAACCAGCATCTGCAGCGATGCTGCCTTCTCACAAGGAAGGAAGGGTTAGAAAAGGTCGGCCCTAAAAATGTCACACCTCACTCTACCTCACGGATTTCCGTCTCCTTGGGTAAGGGTGCCCACTAAGGGCCTTTAAGAACTGAGCTAATCCTCTAAATACCTCTCATAAAAAGGCCGTGCGTGACCGGCCTCAAGCAGTTGTCCCTTGGACTCTGCGGTCACGCACCAACACTAATCTATCTTCCTTTTCAGGTTCCTCAAGAAACAACCTTCCACGGTGTGGGCAGCCGGGAAGTGATAACCGCCCTCATACCCGCAACAGCACACGAGAGACCTTGAATGACAACATGGCTCAAAATCCGTTTGCAATGGCGCCGGTGCATTTTTAATCTTTGTGTTCTCTCTGAAATCCTAATCTTCTTCTGGATTCTTCAACCCCACTCTAGTTTTGTCTATCTAAAGTTATCTCACTGAATCACATACTTCTTGAGAATAATATCTTCTAATCCTAACCTCTGTGATTACTTCTAATTCGCTTACTACCTCTACTACTATTGGATTTGAATTGACAATTACATCTCTGTGCTGATTTGGTCTGGCGACATGAACTGATGTACTTATGTACGAAGTTCAACGTTGCAACTGACTGACTGACTGATAAGTGTTTGGCAAAAGAATTCCTTAAGAAACATCCTAGCCCCGGTGTGGGTAGCTAGGAAGTGACAACTGCCTTCATACCCGTAACAGTACACGAGACCAAATTGGTTACAATCAATTCCTTACTACTCCTACTAAAATCTCTCTTATCTCTACGACTAACTCTTCTCACATTCATTTATCACACTGCACCGCTAATGCAAACGTCACGAGTTCATGAAACGTCATTCTTGGTCTCCTGAAACCTCGTTCTAGACTACATGTTGGAGCACTTAATGTCTGAACACTGTGTCAAATAGGGCAACAGGCTGCCTTAGCTAGGACTTTAGAATCTCGCCCAATCGATGTGTGCTGCGTCTCGGAAACGCGCATACAGGATCCGAGTAGCATCATTCACTTGACCTCACCATGTCAAGATAAAGAAGCAGTTCGATTTACTCTTCGTGTTTCTTGTTGCGCCTGCATGTAAACACGTCATCCTGATATACTTGAACTATTACGAGTTTACCTATTCAGGAAACGAGAGCGAGGATTGAGGATCCGGCGACACGACATACTACTCAAATCCGATTAATCCAACCCCAATATTCAGAAAAAAATAAGAAGACGTGAAATGAAGTAGAACCTGTATTCTACAAGCATTCAGAAAGTACGAGGTCCGGATCCAGAAGAGAATCAGGATCCCGGACTAGGGATCCGGGACCGGATCCTGGTCGTGGTCATAAAGCGTTACAGATAATGCGTATTTATACATTTTGGTCGAATAGGAAACAGCATCAAAGTCTGTGACATTGACAGTTAAGGCGACCGATAGGAAGCAACATTTGAAGTGACATTGATAGTCAGGACAACCAATAGGAATCAACAGTGGAGTATGTATGTGACATTGATATCTAGGACGACCATAAAATTGATCAGTACAAATTAACCAATAAGAATTGACCAATAATTCTCTCTCTAGGATATTGGATGAATATCCTAACATTTCTGGAAGCTCTGATGCTGCTTCCCAGTAGACAGTCACTTGTGCGCTGTTTGACTAAACGGGACAGTAACTACTCGGAAAGTTAGGGAAATTCACCGTTGCCTCTTCGTCGTATCTGCATACACTCCCACTGACTGCAGTTCAGACGAGGTGAAAGATGAGTTTTACAGAAAGCTATCGAACCTCCTCCAAAATGTTAGGCACTGTGATGCATTAACAATGGCTGGTGACTTTAATGCTCAAGTAGGTAGACTATGTGAAAATGAAAGACACCTGGCTGTATCTTATGATGTCACAGCTTAAAGATTAGATAATAGCGACCGTCTGCTGCAACTATGCTCAGATAACCGCTTATTCCTAGCAAACACTAACTTTAGGCATAAGGAAAAACATCTCTTGACCTGGCTACCCCCAAAGGTGTCTCAACGACGGACGCAACTAGATCACATTGCCATCAGCCAATATATTCAATATATTGAGTCGCGTTACGGAGTTATGGAGATTATTGAGTTACTTATTGAAATCATGAATTGATCAATGTTAGACCACCATTAGAAACCTGGAAGCACCGAAAGACGACTGTTTCGTCCCGGTATGAGACTACTCATCAGCAGTGCGCATCCACGACTCCTGCACCTCACAGGATTTGAACCTTGGACCTTCGGCCTTGCGCCCGAACACCTAACCTCTGGACAACTGAGCCAGTATCTAACGGAGTTCATGTCTAACTTCGATCAATTCAAGGTCTTGCGCAATCATCAAAGGTAGTCAAGATGTTGACATAGGTTAAACATCATATACTCAGAAATATTTTCTTTACACTAATGATACACGCGTTAGCTCATTTTGTTAGTCAGAAATACTAAGACGGAAATAAACAAGTCAATGACGACGTATTTGTCATAATTTAATTCACTCAAACAAACTATGAGCAAACTTATCCGATTAAATTATCATGACAATACTATATAAATGAGTTAAAATTAACTAACAGAATGACAGACTGAGAAAGAAAACGACACAAACATTACTTATCATCAGTTTTGCACGCTACAATAATATGTGTACCCATTAAATACTTACTTGCTTACTTACTTACTTACTTACTTACTTACTTACTTACTTACTTACTGACTTACTTACACCTGATGCGGTTTTCCCCCTCGAAATGCAAAATCTTGCTTCAAGATTGAGTTGTATCGGTACCTGAACTAGTGATAGGGAGTGAAGTAGTCAAGCGTGTAGACCACTTCACTTATCTCGGGAACCTCATCAGTGCTGATATCCTAATAACTGACGAAATCTCAGTACGGATACAGAAAGCTCGATTGGTTTTTGTCAACCTGCGTCACTTATGCCGTAGGCGAGATATCCGTTTGCTAACCAAAGGACGGGTGTACTGCGCAGCAGTTCGCTCCATTCTCCTATATGGCTGTGAAACATTGCCAGTGAGAGTAGAAGATATTCGTAGGTTACTTGTTTTTGATCATAGGGGTTCACGAAGCACTGCTTGTATATCCTGGGACTGCCGAGTAAGCTATGCTGTTGTTAGGAAATGGGTGCTACGTAAGGATGGTCCCAACGGACCATGGGCCGCCGACTAGCATTCTACAGCCTACTCTGTCCTGAGCCTTCCTTTCCAGTTCTAACAAATTGCTATTCATTCTTCGCCCTGTCTGTTTTCAATTCTTAGCGAATGTGTCCTTTGGTCTTCCTCTCTCCCTTTGACCTTGAGGAATCCTAGTGAGTGCTTGTCTTGTGACGAACTTGAATGTGTACCAACAGTAGTTAAATTTTGATGATTTTACTGATTAAAAGTTATATTAGGATGATAAAGGTTATTTCAAAACTTTGTGTTGGGGACATTAAATCCCCAGAATTCACTTGATCAAGATCCTAACTTTAGTGTTTGTGCTTTCGCGCATGGACTGATCCGTTGACCTTGGGATTACATTTCCCAACCCGGAAAATCCTTGACTGTCACTGGCTGATGTATTATTTTTGTACGCTACTTCTGTGGCTCTCTCAAGGGCGTTTCTGAAATTATATAAATCAGCTTAATTTTTTTGCTTGTTGACCTCGTATTTTCTGGGTGCTTGTAAAATATACTTTCTACGCCTTATAGCGACTTCTTGATATTATTAGCAGGGCCTTGGGGCGCTCAGATTAAAATAGCCTATCATGTCTCTGTATCAATTATCTTCGCTCTCGTTTACCGAGTAAGGTGAACTCGT